AACTTACAAGATAACTTGAATCTACTTACAAGATAACTTAAATCTACCTGGTAGTATGATGGGATTGCTTAAAAAATGCCCGACAGCATTTACCGAGCATTTTCTAAGTTTCATTCCCTGGCTTCCCATTTCCACTCTAGTACTTACCTACTGTGTAACCAATTCGTTAGATTACAACTTCCTTACACTTACTAGCCTTTAGAGTCTTGCACTTTAACTTAAGATTCTTTATTTCCTCCAGGAGTTTCTTTATCTTGTCGACCCTAAAGTACTCCTCTATATCTAGCACTATCTTTGTGTAATCGTTAGATATTAGTGTCCGGTATCCATTTTCGTTTAACACCTTTAACCATGACACCTGGTTGTCCCTAACTTCACCTGTGCCCATTGGGGTCTTGAGTTCTATTGCGAATCCATGGAAACCATTACTTGGAGTTACTATCGTGAGGTCCGGTTGTCCACCCATATATCCCTTCCTCCAAGCGTCGCATCTCTTTTGTCATGTATCATGGTACTCTCCTAGTTCCGGTAGGATTAGGGCTTTTGGGTGGTACTTTTTAAGATATTCTACAACAGCATAATGAAGGTCCGTTTCATTAATTAGCTTCATCTGATTACAATAGAGTGGCTCAGATTCTGGTAATTTGTATGAGCCTGTTTTACGGATCGATGGAAGCACCTCACTGAATACCCAGTCCTGAAAGGCCTCTGCTATTGGGAATCTTGAGCTACATATTAGCTGGTACAAACCAGGTTCGTATAGCATAATCGTTTGTGGGTGACATTTTTGCAAGGGGGGCGATTCACCCCCCATGCGAAGCTCCTCTACGCTTACCTTATTTTGTTTCCTAACTAGTTTCTGAACTGCCTTTTTTGGATCCTCGTACCCTAGTGATTCCGCCACATCTTTTGCATAGAATAATATACCCTCACCCCACCTCACTATTCTTATACTAACATTCAACTTTTCGTTCCTGAATAATTGCTCCATCTTTCCTATACTATATGTGTAAAAAAATTTTAGGCTATTTTATTCATCAATTTATTTCGATTTAATTTTTACCCATACAGGGAGCAGCATTCCCTCAGCCCACCCAGCTGCTTCCCATTGTTGTATACTTCCTATTACAAAAAATTATTTTGCCTACTGCATTTCGTTTAGATTCTTGTATATATTTACAACTGTTTTTATTATATCATTTTTAAAAGCTTCAAAGTCATACTTTAGTGAATCCAAGGTTGCCTGAATCTTATCCAGCTGTTCCCTGTTTTCATCAGTTTTCTCAATCAATTCATCAATTATGTCTTCGAATTCTGTTCCTTCCCAGGGATTTCCCCAGTCGTAGGGCCCTCCGAGTCGTGGCATTCTGTATGTTATAGAAGATGTTTAGCTTCCTCGGACACTTCCTCAGGTTCCTCCTTCTTATTCCACTTATGGGCAACTACATGTCTAGCTGTTGTACAGCCACCAGATATGAGCCCTATGAATGGTATGTTGGGGGATATCGTTCTGGTTAAATATGCTACATCGTCCTTCAGAAGCTTGTCACTAAGTAGTTCCTCTGAAGTTTCTATGAAGATTCCACTGCACCAAAACTTCCTAGTACCGCAGCAAACTTTGAGATAATAAGTGTTGATAAGAAGTCGCTTGCACATGACATCCTCTGACTTTCATACTCATGGTACAGTCTATCTACAACATCCTTGTTAGACTTTCTTATAAAACTTGCGGGCTTCTCTATTATACCGTCCCTCGATAGCTCTATAAGCTTGTCCCTTTTATATTCAGTTTGCGACTTATCTGCGGTAGACTTAGTTTTTCTTGCGGTAGACCTAGCTTTTTTCTGCGGCACCTTTGCGGCATCCTGTACTTCTCTTACAGTCTCAAATACTTCTTCCTCAGATTCAGTTCCCATCATCTATATTTTACGCGGTGTTTAGTTTAACAGTGTATGTGTAAGGGTGAATAAGTAGTACGTCCAGTGCGGTGAACTTTTCATCTTTTAATATCTTCGTAATCTCTGTAATTGTCTCCTGAGGAACGCCACTTAGGTAATCATCTGTTATGACCTTCATATCCCTGCGACTAGGGTTGTAGAATGTAACTAGCCTGGAAATGTTCTCTCTAAAGGGCTTTGCTACTGATGACAATTGTTGGGTAAGTACAATGACAGATAGGTTGTAATGTCTTGCAGAGAAAGCTAGGCGCACCAGTTCTGAGACTCTTTTCTTTACATCTTGACTTGCAGCACAATCGTCCACTATAATGAGAGTTTGAGTACCGCGGAATATGGTGGACACTGCCTTGAGAACAAGATTGATCATTTCTTGTGAGCATGGAATTTGTATAACTCCGTGGTCACTAATATGAGTCCAATTAATGTAAGTCATATTCCACTCTATGGTTGGACATATAATAACAATGTAATCGAAAACTCTATTGTACTCTGTTTCTAGCATATTAAGTAGGAACTGAGTTTTTCCACTTCCAGTCATTCCTACTATGAGCATGTTGAATGGGGGCTTAAGTTGTTGCATCTCTATGCTTTACCATTAGTATTGAATACTTGATAGATCTCTATTGGCAAAGTTAAGGAGAGCATCTGATACAACAAAAATGTTGCATTGAACGTCAGCTGTTGTGGCTCTCTTTTTGATTTCCAGGAGTACTCCTGATTGTGTGTTAACAATCTTCTTATCTCCACCTGTGGTATCATCTTGTGTTGATCTAAGATCGATTACTAGAGCGAAACCATTGCTGAAGAACTTACTAATGGACATAAATTCGTCTGCCATGGATTTCTCACACATAGGGCAGAAGAGTCTTTTTGCCTCTTCGAAGAACCTATTTTTAGGAAGTCCTTGGGAGAAAACTGCATTAGGCACACCCTCAATGGTCAGGTTCACTTTATCAATGTTTGGGTAAATATATTCTTCAGAATCAGTTCTCACTCTATTGGTAAATAGAAAGACAATTGCCGACATGCTCTTTCTGGGGATATTAATGTTCTCATTGACAATGGTAAGATCCTTGTCCCAGTTACTCGTGCGCATTAGTGTAACGTGTCTGTAGGACAGCGAGGGACCCGTTGAATACATCCTTGATACTTCACTCGCAAGGGCGTCATTCTCAATGGTCTCGTATTCTAGCTCAAGATTGTCCAGTTTATAGCCATCTACTTGTTCACCTCCTTGGGCAGTCATAATCTCATCTGCCTGTGGGAGAGTAAGGATGTACATAGGATTGTTATTCATGCAGAACGGTGTGTAGAGTCCATGGTCTGCAATTATTTTATCAATTGGTTTTCTCAGCTTAGAACCGTACACATTGTGGAGAAGTGCATCTGCTACTTTACCAACATCACCTACTTTTACTCCTGAGTCATCACCTGATATCAGCTTCCTGAGATTCTCACTTGCAAGGCCCTGTTCGGTCATCTTCTTTCTGTCACCTAGTGTTAGCCATAGATCTTTGTATATTTCGTACAAACTCTCTCCTGAACAGTCATAAGCTGTTTCACCTGCTACTTTAATCTGAAGACGTTCAGCTATTAACTTAGACAGGTTGTTATTGAAACGGCTTTTTGTATTAGAATTTTTGAAGTCAAATAATAGTGCAAACGATCCTGGGACTAAACAAGAGTCAGGCTTTAGTTTGGGGATGTTAATGTACAGCTCTTCACCTGGGCCAATAGTTGTTGGATTAAATGTTACAACACTTCTAGTTCTAGTTCCTTTTACAGTCGTCATACGACTCCTCCTGAAGCCAGGTTGGAGTTCTCTTTCTGTGGTATTCATACTTGTATACAATATGTAATGTTTAGCTGTTAATGTAAAGGTAAAATTATTCCGATACCTACAGCTACCACCCATAAGTTTGATGATATGAATTTAATCAGTTTGCTTACTATATTAGGAAGTGGAAATGGTGACGGTGAAGGACCTCCGCCTCCGTGTGTGGAGTCTAGTCTGTATGATGATAGCTGTAAGAAGAGTAGCAACTGATACCATAACACCTGCAAGCACAAATCCGAAGTTATCTTCAACCCATGATTTGAATCTTTCATACCTCGTAAGATCTTTCCTAACATCCTTCAACATGATTTCTGTACTATCACCGCTGAATATAGGTTGATCATCTTCTGGGATAGTATCCTCTGCGACCTGGAATAAGAGGTTCTCAAAGTTGAAAGTATCCTTTAGCCATTCAGTGTCTACCCCAAGTAGAGGCTCCTCAGTCTTCTCACCTCTATCGGGCTTCCTGGGTTCTTTGCCTCTGTAGGGCTTTTCTATCTTGGGTTCCTTAGGTTCTTCCTTAGGTTGAGGCTTCTTAGGTTCTTCCTTAGGTTTAGACTTTTCTTTTTCCCATTCTTTGAGCTTTTTCTCCAGTACTCTGTTTTTTCCTTATCACCCTTAACAGTTTCCTGGTGTCTTTTAATCTCAGCTTCCTTGCGCTCAAACTCAGCTTTTCTCTGACGTTCGGCAGCTTCTTCTGCAAGCCTCATACGTTCTAACTCAGCAGCCTTCCTGCGTTCTTCTTCCTTCTTCTTTCTAGCTTCTTCTTGCCTACGTTCTTCTTCCTCTACTGCCAACTCTTCCTCGCGCTCATTAGGATCAAAACCTAGTTTTTCTATAATACCCTTCAGCTTATCTATTTTTTCCGAGTAGTCACTCATTCTAACTTCAGCCTTAGCTATTCTTCTGAGTACAGCTAATGTTTTTACCTCTTCCTTGAGAGTACCATGGGTCGCGTTTAGATAGGCCGCGGTTTCTAAATTCTTCCAGGTCTTCATTCTTCTCAGCTGACTGACGTACTCAATTTCTCTTTTAATATCCTCTTTTTCTTCGGATTGCTCAGGACCCGTTATCTTCCTTCGGAGAATGTCTATTTCAGAGTCCATATCTTCAGGTTTCATTTCCCTATAGCCAGGGTATAATATATTCAGCTCATCTAGGTCCTCAGTTCCTAGGTCTCCTTCCCAGATCTCAGAGTATTCATTATTGTATTCGTCAAGAATAGTACTTACCGTATCCATCCATGCTGCCTTGCATTCTACGCTTTCAGCCATTTCTCATACTTTACTTGCTGTAATAATTAAACACCATTAAGGCTGCAGCTACAGCTAATACCCATAAGTGTGACGCTAACCATGCAACTCCTTTGGCACCCCATGATAGCGCCGTTGCAACTGCGCTCAGGATTGGAACTAGGATTGGTCCTGCTTTCTTTGCTAAATTTGCTAATGCTTTTGCTACTTTACCAGTGGCCTTTGCTGTCTTCACAATGGCTCCCCTAGCATGAATAAGAATAGTTGTTAGTAGACCTGCTGTTGATATTGCTATTCCAGTTAGACCCACCTTCTCCTCCCCTAACCATTTCACAAACTTGCGTAATCTGGAAATATCTTCCAACTGCGCCTCCCTGGTTTCCTCTAATACTCTCTGTTCTAGGGTTCGATCTCTAGCTTCCTTCAAACTGTCAATTCTTTCTATAAGAGCATTATACTCAGTTGCTTCATTAAAGTAGTCAGCCTGGATTTGCAGCGCTCCTTTTGAACCTGTTCTACCTTCCATGCTCGATCCCTCGGGTGGGTTAAGAACACCTCTCAGTTCATTGTTTTCTGCCAATGTTAGCCCTGGAAGGTCTCCTAGTTGCACCTATGTCTATTAACTCAGTATTCTCCCGATCAGCAAATTCCTTATCACTGCTATCAAATTGGGGCTCTTCTCTGGTATCCTCGTAAATTGATTCATCACTTCTAATTCTAACGTCAGGATCCGTATGTACCTCTTTTATTTTCTTTATAAGGTCCTTGTATTCTCTCAATGCAATGGAGTTCTTGGAGTACACAGGTTTGCTGGTCTTACCACGTTTCATTATCTGTGTCCCACTTTTGTCAATACCTTGTTCACTTCTAAATACCAACACCTCTATGCCATCATTAAGTGTTCTGACAGATGATCGTTTGAGGAGTTCCCTGACATAATTATTCTTAGGGTCTAGTATTAGTCCCTCCTTACCTTTAATAACTCTTGTGACAGCTTGAACACGCTCTACCTGGTTTCTAAAGTCCCTCTTCTTCTCCACTGTAGAAAGTTTATTTAGTCGTTCCAGACGTTTCTCTATGTTAAACCAGTCAGTATCAAAAGTATAATCATTAAATACATCTAGCACAACTGGAAGAAGCCCATCCGGATCTTCCACAAATTCTACTCCTGGAACGTTTGTAGTTCCTGATGGTCCTGAAATGTTTACTGTACCATCGTTTCCTTCGGTGAAAGTTGTTTCTTCTAATGCACGTCTCTCCATGAGATTCCTTACATAGTCTAGTTCACTTTTAAGATCAGTTAATACTAAAGGATCAACATCATACATAGTCTCTCCCCTTACCTTTGTGTCCAACCTACTAAAAGCTGTCGTTAGGTTATCATAAC